GATTGAAGGCAAAAAGAGAAGGGGGCAACAGAGGATGAGACAGTTGGATGGCATCACTGACTCAGCGGACATGAATCTGAGCAAACTCTAGGAGATAGTAAAGGACAGGGAGGCCTGGCATGCTGCAGTCAATGTAGTTGCTAAGAGTCGGACATGACTTAGCATCTGAACAACAAGAACAACCATCTTGGTAAACAATGTGGCTAACTGGGTATGTTATCTATATAGGAATCAGCAATTTCAGCTCTATGTATACACCCCAGATAGTTGCATGCCACAAAAATGTTTATATTAATAACAGCATGTTTATAACAGATGACTGACTGAGCAAGCACACACACACACAATAAATCACATTCACACAACATTTACATTGTATTCCAGTCAACTGACTATTTTATGGCAAGGAAAATTACTTAGCTACATCCATACAAAAGTATGATTGAATCTCACAAATTTAATGTTAAAAATAATAAGAAACAGTGTAATAAGTTTTTGCATAACTTTGTCATTTGGGAATGTAAAAATAACCAGTAAAACTACAAAGGAGGGAAATGTTATCACAACAGTCAAGAGAGTACTTCTCTCTGGAGAGAATGTAATGGGACTGTCAGGAAAGAGCATGTGGTTGAGGGAGTACTTTTCATGTAACTGCACTGTTTTATTTCTTGACCTAGGTAGAGATTACAATGGTTGTTGCTTTTTAATTACTTGTTAAAATGCTCACATTTTATGTACTTTTCTGTATGTGTATTTCAGTATAAGACATATATTTATACTTTAGAATATAAGTATATATTCTAAAGGGAGTGACAAAAAGTGTAATGGGTTCTTAGAAGAGATGAAGAACTAGTATTAGGATACTGACAGTACTAATTTTAGAAGCAGCAGCAAGTTTAGGAAGTGGTTTTTTTGTTTGTTTTTTTTTCCTATTCAGGAAGGAAAGTGATTTAGTTGAGCTTAGGGAAATGTTTAGCAGTCGCTGAAAAGAATTTTACCAATATTTCATTAAAACCCAGAAATCATTTATTGAAGCTGCATTTGAATTACAGAAACTTCCAGGTAAAATGGGAGAATAAGCCCTTGCATGACTATCTAATGAAACAAAATATATAAACTATGACGAGGTACCACCTCACACTAGTCAGAATGGCCATCGTTAAAAAGCCGAAAACAAATGCTGGAGGGGATGTGGTAAAAAGGAAACCCTCCTACACTGTTGGTGGGAATGTAAATTGGTGCAGCCACTATGGAGAACAGTATGGGGGTTCCTTAAAAAAACTAAAAATAGAACTTACATTTGACACAGGAATCCCACTCCTGGGCATATACCCAGAGGAAACAATAATTCCAAAAGATACATGCACCCCCATGCTCACTACAGCACTATTTACAATAGCCAGGACACAGAAGCAACCTACATGTCCATCAACAGAGGGATGGATGCAGAAGATGTGGCACATACATACAATGGCATATCACTCAGCCATTAAAGGGAATGCAACCGTGCCATGTTCAGAGATGTGGCTGGGCCTAAAGACTGTCAAACAGAGTGAAGTCGGTCAGAAAGAGAAAAATATTGCGTATTGATGCATACATGTGGAACCGAGAAAAATGGAACAGATGAACCTATTTGCAAAGTAGAAACAGAGACACGGACAAAGAGAACAATGTATGGAATCCAATGGGGTGAGGGGGAAGGTGGGATGAATTGGGAGATTGGGACTGACACTATAAAGAGAACCTACTGTATAGTACTTCCCTGGTGGGAAGTGCTCTAGGGCTGTATAGGGCTTCCCTGGTGGCTCAGAGGTTACAGCGTCTGCCTCCAATGCGGGAGACCCAGGTTCGACCCCTGGGTCGAGAAGAGCCCCTGGAGTAGGGCATGGTAACCCACTCCAGTATTCTCGCCTGGAGAATCCCATGGACGGAGGAGAATGGTAGGCTACAGTCCACGGGGTCGCAAAGAGTCGGACACGACTGAGCGACTTCACTTGACTTCACTGTTGAGCACAGAGAACTCTGCTCGGTGCTCTGTGGTGACCTAAATGAGAAGAAAATCCAAAAGAGAGGGGACATATGTACACACTCTGCTGATTCACTTTTCTGTACACCCGAAACTAACACAACATTGTAAAGAAACTATATGCCAATAAAAATTTTTTTGAAAGAAAGAAATAACATACAACTTAAAAATTTTTTTTTCCACTGAGATAACCTCTCAGGTTTTCCTTTGAATTTAGATTTTGCTATTGCTGTTATACTTGCAGCTAAATCTTATACCAACCCATGAAACTAGTTGGGCCCCACCATGAGAGCCACCAAGCAGACGACCCACAAACTGCAGGAAAATTATACCAAAGAAATTCTCGCACTGTTAAGAAAGTTCTAGGACTCACAACAGATTTTCCAACCTGGGGATCTGGCAAAGGGACTGAGAACAGCCAGGAATTTGACTTTGGAGGCCAGTGGGATTTCATTACAAAACCTGCACAGGACTAGGGAAACAGACTCTTGCAGGGCAGAAACAAAATCTTATGTGCACCAGGGCCCAGGAGAAGGGAGCAATGTTCCCATAAGAGACTGAGCCAGACTTGCCTATAAGTGTCCAGGAGTCTCTGGTGAAGGTGTGGGTCAATAGTGGCCTACTGCAGGGTCAGGAGCACTGAATACAATCCTGTAGCCATAAGTCCTTTTGAAGAAGGTCACCATTACTGGCATTACTCCTAAGAAGTTTGGCCTCAGGTCAAACACCCACCCAGCAACAGAAAATTGGATTAAAGATTTACTGAGCATAGCCTAGTAAACTAAGACTATGGCATCCAGTCCCATCACTTCATGGCAAATAGATGGGGAAACAGTGGAAACAGTGAGAGACCTTATTTTGGGGGGGCTCCAAAATCACTGCAGATGGTGCCTGAAGCCACGAAATTAAAAAGACACCTACTCCTTGGAAGGAAAGTTATGACCAACCTAGACAGCATATCAAAAAACAGAGATATTACTTTGCTACCAAAGGTCCATCTAGTCAAGGCTTTGGTTTTACCAGTGGTCATGTATGGATGTGAGAGCTGGACTATAAAGAAAGCTGAGTGCTGAAGAATTGATGCTTTTAAATTGTAGTCTTGGAGAAGATTCTTGAGAGTCTTGTGGACTACAAGGAGATCCAACAAGTCCATTCTAAAGGAAATCAGTTCTGAATACTCATTGGAAGGATGATGCTGAAGCTGAAATTCCAATAATTTTGCCACCTGATGTGAAGAACCGATTCACTGGAAAAGACTCTGATGCTGGGAAAGATTGAAGGCAGGAGGTGGAGGGGACAACAGAGGATGAGAATGTTGGATGGCATCACCGACTCAATGGACATGAGTTTGAGTAAGCTCTGGGAGTTGGAGATGGACAGGGAAGCCTGGCATGCTGCCTTCCACGGGGTCGCGAAGAGTCAAACATGACTGAGAGACTGAACTGAACTGAGCATGGCCCCACCCATCAGAACTAGACCCAGAGTCCCCCACAGTCAGTCTCTCCCATCAAGAAGCTTCCACAAGCCTCTTATCATTACCCATCACAGGAGCAGACAGAATGAAAACCACTATCACAGAAAACTAACCAACTGATCACATGGCTTACAGCCCTATCAAACTCAGTGAAACNGCGGACTGGTTCCAAATTGGGAAAGGAGTACGTCAAGGCTGTATACTGTCACCCTGCTTATTTAACTTATATGCAGAGTACATCATGTGAAATACCAGGCTGGATGAAGCACAAGCTGGAATCAAGATCGCCAGGAGAAATAACAATAACCTCAGATATGCAGATGACAGCACCCTTATGGCAGAAAGCAAAGAACTAAAGAGCCTCTTGATGAAAGTCAAAGAGGAGAGTGAAAAAGCTGGCTTAAAACTCAACATTCAAAAAACAAAGATCATGGCATCCAGTTCCATCAATTCAAGACAAGTAGATGAGAAAACAATAGAAACAGTGACAGACTTTATTTTCCTAGGCTTAAAAATCACTGTAGATGGTGACTGCAGCCATGAAATTAAAAGATGCTTGCTCCATGGAAGAAAAGCTATGATCAACCTAGATAGAATATTAAAAAGCAGAGACATTACTTTACTGACAAATGTCCATCTAGTCAAAGCTATGGATTTTCCAGTAGTCACGTATGGATGTGAGAGTCGGACCATAAAGAATGCTGAGTGCCAAAGAATTGATGCTTTTGAACTGTGGTGTTAGAGAAAACTCTTGAGACTCCCTTGGACAACAAGGATATCCAACCAGCCCATCCTAAAGGAAATCAGTCCTGAATATTCATTGGAAGGACTGATGCTGAAGCTGAAGCTCCAATTCTTTGGCCATCTGATGCGAAGAACTGACTTACTGGAAAAGACCCTGATTCTGAGAAAGACTGAAGGAAGGAGGAGAAGGGGACAACAGAGGATGAGATGGTTGGATGGCATCACTGACTTGATGGACATGAGTCTGAGCAAGCTCCAGGAGTTGGTGATGGACTGGGAGGCCTGGCATAATATAGTCCATGGGGTCGCAAAGTCAGACACAACTGAGCGACTGAATTGAACTGATGAGACTAGTTTGTATTACTGGTTTTTCACATCAGTTTTCCTTCAGAGGCTTTTTCTCCTTTACTTGATGATTTTAAGTATGGTAGGAATATTTAATATACTTAGATATACTTCTACTTGGAGACATCTGAATGCACTTCCAATTGATTTGTATTTAATTTTTATTAATGAATTTTTGTTTTTCCTACTCTTATACATCTAATATGATGGCAGATACCTTTATTCAATGCCTTTCTTTGCATCCCTACCTTGAAAGCTACCTTTTGATTTTGAATCTGGGGAAACTAAACTTGTGTTCCTCTTTCAAGCTAAGCTGGGACTTTTGCTTTGCCACCAAATTTCTGTTGGAGATAAATCCAAGTTCCTCCTTTTTATTCTACTTGGATTCATATAGATATTTTTCAACTTTACCTCTGATGTATATGAGTCAGTTTTTAAAAGGCCTGGATATCTCTCTTTTAATTTTTCTTCTGGTATAAAGAAGAGATTTTTCATTTTTTTCACTGGCATGGCTTCTTGCCGGTGTTCCTCTAAAGGTGGTATTTGGTCCTCTTCTGTTATTGACAGCTTAGAAACAGTGGACAATGGCGTATCTGTTTCCTTTGATGGCACATCAGTTTTAGGAGCAACAATACTTGAATCATCTTTACTTGACTGGTTCAAAGCTGGTAGAGTCAGGCCTTTCTTATCATCATCATTATCATTATCCAGTAACTAGAAAATATATCAATAAGCTACCAATTAATCATTACCAATTAAAAATATTTAAAACTAACAAAACTGGACTTAAAATCATTTGTACTTTTATCCTTTATTATAAAAGTTACCATCAATATTTGTAAATTATTACATTCCTTAAGAGTTGAGAAATTCTCTACCTGCCTGAAGCCATGGACTACAGAGATTATCCATAAAAATGACCACACTGCATTATAAAGCAGTAGTTCTCATATATTCATATTTTATAAATCAGCAACATCTCAAAGAAGGAAAATCGAGGTGTCTGATATTTTACTGTTACTATACTATCACAAATGTAGCATAACAAAAGAAATTTTGATGGCAAAATAATACAAAGAACAATATCATAAAAATCACAATTTATAACAAAATAAAAGAAATTTTAATAGTAAAATATTACAAGTAATAGTATCATAAACGAAAGGATAAAAGTCTGTTAAGACAGGTAAATTTAGCTGCATGAGAAGCTCCCTATATTGCCTTTTTTGTCTCTTCTTGGACTATGGAAAACAGTGTATGTTGACTCTTCAACTGGTATTTGGGGAGCCAGCGGCCCAAGAATAGAAATCATCAAGTCCTATTTTTCAAGTAGTACAAAAGAACCTTTTATATTTTATTGGTTTCCATAAGGGTTCACTGGCTTTGGGAATTGATACCTTCTGTAAAATTAGCTAAAAAGTAAATATTATGTTAAATATATTACACAATATAGACTTATTATGGAGATTGCATATTACAGAGAGTATATAGTTACAGAGAAAAAGTACAGAATGTAGTTAGGTCTGTGGCATCCATATCTGAGATGTAGAACTTCATGATTTTTTTTTAACTTGTTTCCCCCCTCTGGTTCGTAAACACCTTTTGTCCCCTATAGTCATATATACTTTAAAATGTTACAATTTAATGCTGAAACTTCCCCTTTAACAGTATAATTTAACTTAAATGAATCATATAACTGTACAAATATTGCTGTATCAGAAATAACCATGAAGACCTAAATAACTTCTTGAGTGCTTTTTTCCTTTCATCCATAAATATTTTCTGTTTACAAATATTTCACCCCTTTATAAAACAGTAACTATTAGAAGTTCTCTTTCAAGTTTCCTTACCTCACTTAGAATAGTTTCAGCTTGCTCCTTTATTAGAGAGATACCTGTTAAGAAATTTATAGAAGTATTTTATCATATATAAAATAATAAACATTACGCATTAATAAAATACTACAATTTTTCTCACCAAGAATAAGAGCAATTTAAATCAAAGCAGCTATTCAAACATAAGACACTACATAGTTACAAAAACAGGCTGATGAATCTCTAGGAAGATGGAGGAGTAAATGAACAAGTATAAAGTGAAAAAGTATAATATGATAACACTTCAGATACATCAATATAAGATATTGAAACAGGCATATCATATTGGTTGTTCAGTCACTCAGTCATGTCCAGCTATTTGTAAACCCATGGACTGCAGCCGGCCAGGCTTCCCAGTCCTTCACCATCTCTCGGAACTTACTCAAACTCATGTCCATTGAGTTGGTGATGCCATCCAACAATCTCATCCTTAGTCGTTCCCTTCTCCTCCTGCCTTCAATCTTTCCCAGCATCAGGTTATTTTCTAATGAGTCAGCTCTTTGCATCAGGTGGCCAAAGTATTGGGGCTTCAGCTTCAGCGTCAGTCCTTCCAGTGAATATTTAGTACTGATTTCCTTTAAGATTAATTGGTTTGATCTCCTTGAAGAACACCACCACAGTCCAAAGTTGGAGAAGAGTTTTCTCTGACACCACAGTTCAAAAGCATCAATTCTACTGATGCTCAGCCTTTTTTACGGTCCAACTCTCACATCCATACATGACTACTGGAAAAACCATAGCTTTGACTAGATGGATCTTTGTCAGTAACATAATATCTCTGCTTTTGAATATGCTGTCTAGGTATGTCATAGCTTTTNACATTCTTTGGGATTGCCTTTCTTTGGGGTTGTAATGAAAACTGAGTATATCTTGCTAAAAATCAAGAGGAAATAAAATAAATCCCAGATGGTCAGTGATTAAGGTTGGGGTTGGAAAAAGAGATTAGAATAAAGCTGTATATAACCAAAGAACTAGGATCTCTCAACAGAGGCTAACTGAAGCACTTACAAAATCTTCCTAGCAATATAAAATATTCCAGAAATATATTGGCCTTCCCTGGTGACTCAGTCAGTAAAGAGTCTGCCTGCAATGCGGGAGACCCAGGTTCAGTTCCTGGGTTGGGAAGATCCCCTGGAGAAGGAAATGGCACCCCACTCCAGTATTCTTGCCTGGAGAATTCCATGGACAGGGGAGCTTGGTGGACTACAGTCTATGGGGTCACAAAGAGTCGGACACGATTGAGTGACTAACACTTTCACTTTCACTTTAGAAATATAAACAATACGTATTTAGCAAAGAAAAAAATGTAAAAGGGGAAGGGATTAAATACAGAGATAAAATGGAATGCTTAAATCTAATAAAAACAAAATTTAGTAAGGTCACTATTAGTTGCATGACTACTGTCAGCTCATTTTTCTGAGCCTTGATTTTCTGACAAGTAAATCAGATTAGAGACAGTTTATCTTATAGGAATGGTACAAGTATATATAACATGTGCAGCAACGTGGCTAAAAGCTTGAGCTCTTGGATCAAACAGACAAGGTTCAAATTAATGACTATGTGACCTCTCACAGACTGATCCTCAGTTTCCTCATCTGTAAAAATGTGGATAAATAATAATAGCATCCTCAGTTGACTGCTGTGAGGACTGATTTATATAATCCAAGTAACATGCCTGGAACACAGTGATCAGTAAATCACTTGGCTGTAACTACAGGAAGCTATTGGAATGCCAGAAGGAAAGAAGTCACCAGAGGATCCAATGGGACCTGAAATAAACTCCTAGGATAATTGAAAAAAAATTAAAGAAAAATAAAGATAGCAACCACTAGTGAGTAACTCACTAGTGAGAAAGGTTAACTTCCAATTTTCAACAGTGATATTAAAGAGGGAAGCTGTTATTCTGCTACAACCTAAAACTTGAATGTTTCAGTTAAAGGGTAGATTAAAGATGAAATAGCTCTGCTAGGTTGGTTGATCCTCGGAGGTTAGGAAATAAATATACTAAAGACTGAGGTAGCTGGAGAAGTAGAATTAGATAAATAACCTGTGGCAAAAACTTATAACAATAAATCATTAATCCACATCAGCAGAATCCAAGATTTTAAAGATAGAGTATTATGCATCTATTTTAACTTACTAAGTGAATCTTTTAATAGATTTTTCTTAAAGCTGCATATACAGTATCTTTTATTAACCAAATATGTTACTGATAATTTGCGGAGAAGGAAATGGCAATCCAGTCCAGTGTTCTTGTTTAGAAAGTCCCATGAAGAGAGGAGGCTGGTGGGCTGCAGTCCATGTGGTCCCACAGGGCTGGGCACGACTGAAGCGACTTAGCATGCACACACACACTGATGATTTGTATAAAGTTCTCAAATTTAATGCTAACTTTATTTCCTGTCCTACTTTTTCCCTTTTCCCTTTCTCTTACACACACACATACACACCCTCCACATAAAAGAAATCAATAGGTCTACAGTTAACAATGTTTAACAACACACCTTTTCATAGACTATAGATAAGATTTAACTTTTTTCTTGTCCTTAAAGGAGGAAAGGAGTCTAATTCTTTTCTTTGGAGTGTTACAAAATAAATACTATATACCAAGACTATAATGAAATGTATTTTTATTCCCTAAAAAATGAAATCTACTTGAAGCAGATTACTGGTTTTCTTTTTGTGATATAACCACCCTGTTTTAATTATCTTAATAATAAATACAAAAGTAAATTAGGTACATAACCTGATGTTACAGTATCTGTAGGTCTCTCTTCCAATTGGCTTTCTAGTACCTCATTGATATTACTTTCCTAGAAGGGAAAAAAAAAGAAAAAGAAAACATATTAGAGAGATGTTTAAAGAGCTAAAACATTTTTCTCTGCCTTCATAACTTCTTTTAATACTTTTAAAATATTATAGAAGATAAGAATATGGGTTTGTGAGAAAAGCAAACAACACTATTTTAAATAGTACTGTTTAAATAGTACCAACACCCTGGCTAGGAGCTGATGTTCCAGGGAGAGGAGATCCAAGAATTGATAGGGTATCTGAATGCATGAGAGGAAAAAGATCACAAGACAAATGACATAATGTTTAATTTCATGGGGGTGTAAGAGGATATCCATAGGAAACAGATCAGTTGTTTCCTGGAATACATGATAGTCTATCAACTACAAAGTGATATGGATCTTTAAAAAATTTGAAGAAGAATTATACGGTGGGGTGACCACTGGCTCTAATAAAATACTGACTTTTCAATGAGAATCCAAAGTCCAAAGTCCCTTAACCTAAAAGTCGCCCAATTTCCCTAAAATACAAATTATGTATTAGCAAATGCTAATTGATTCATCTTATCATAGCACAATCCTGCCCAATTATCTCAGAGGCTTTGAAAAACAGGAATATGTTTTAAAAAATAAGTTTTACTACCATTTCAAGGCTGTGATTTTAGTTAACATTTTATTTATTCACTGAAATCCCTATGAATCCTCTACAGCCAGATCAAAATGTATATATTAGATTGTACTTCTAAATATTAAGCCTTACTTATCTACCTGATAAGGGTCTAGTGTCCAAAATATATAAATAACTCTTACAACTCAACAATAAAGATACAAATAGCTAAATTTAAAAAATAACCAAAGATATAAATAAAATCTTATTCAGAGAAGATACACAAATGACCAGTATTCATCTGAAAAGTTGTTCTCATCATGGGTCATTAAAGAAATGCAAATGAAAACTACAATGAGATACTACTTGAAACCCACCAGGATGGCTATAATTAAATAAAAAAATAATAATAACAACAAGTTTTGTAGAAGTCATGGACCCCTCATACATTGCTGATTAAATGTAAAATCATGCTGCTGCTGTGGAAAAGTTTGTCAGTTTCTGAAAAAGTTAAACAGAATTATGATAGGATTTAGCAATTGCACTCCTAAGTATATACACAACAGAATCAAAAACGAAAAGCTGCACATGATGTTCATAGCAGCATTATACATAATAGTTAAAAAGTGAAAACAACCAAATGTCCACTAACTAATGAGTGGATAAAAAATGAGGTATATCCATACAATGAAATATCTGGCAATGAAATGAAGTACTGATACATGCTACAATAGTGATAAACCTTGAAAACACTATACTAAGTGAAAGAAGTAAGTCACAAAGGACCATATATTGTATGATTCCATTTGTATGAAATATCTACAACAAGCAAATCTATAGAAACATAAAGTAGATTAGTTATTGTTTAGGGCTGGTGGGGCATGGAGGGTTTGGAGGTTATAGGCAAAGAGGTATGGGGTTTCTTTTAGGGGTAATGGTAATATTTTCAAATTTATTACAACAATGGATGCACAACTGTATGAATATACTTAGTGTCACCGAATTGTACACTTAAATGGGTGAATGGTATAGTATCTGAATTATATCTCAACAAAGCTGTTAAAAACTAAACCTTATAAGTAATCAATATTTACTGAATGTCACATTATCAGAATATGAAAGTACAGAAACTATGCTCAAATCCCTCAAGCTAGGCTGCAGCAGTATGTGGACTGAGAACTTCCAGATGTAAAAGCTGGATCCAGAGATCAAACTGCCAACATACACTGGATCATAGGAAAAATAAGAGAATTCTAAAGAAAAACATCTGCTTCATTGACTTTGCTAAAGCCTTTCACTGTGTGGATTACAACAAACTGTGGAATATTCTTAAAGAGATGGGAATACCAGACCACACTACCTGCCTCCTGAGAAACCTGGTCAAGACCTGGTCAAGAAGCAACAGTTAGAACTGGACATGGAACAATGTACTGGCTCCAAATTGGGAAAGAAGTACGTCAAGGCTGTATATTGTCACCCTGCTTATTTAACTTCTATGCAGAGCACATAATGAGAAATGCCAGGCTGGATGAAGCACAAGCTGGAATCAAGATTGCCAGGAGAAATGTCAATAATCTCAGATATGCAGATGATACCACCCTCATGGCAGAAAGTGAAGAAATAAAGAGCATGTTGATGAAAGTGAAAGAGGAGAGTGAAAAAGCTGGCTTAAAACTCAACACTCAAAAAACAAAGATCATGGCATCCAGTCCCATCACTTCATGGCAAATGGATGGGGAAACAATGGAAACAGTGAGAGACTTTATTTTCTTGGGTTTCAAAATCACTGCAGATGGTAACTGCAACCATGAAATTAAAAGACGCTTGCTCCTTGGAAGAAAAGCTATATCTACATCTAAATAGCATATTAAAAAGTATATTAAAAAAGCAGAGACATTACTTTGCCAACCAAGGTCTGTATTTTCCCAGTAGTCATGTATGGGTGTGAGAGCTGGACCATAAAGAAAGCTGAGTACCAAAGAACTGATGCTTTTGAATTGTGGTGATGTAGAAGACTTTTGAGAATCCCTTGGACAGCAAGGAGATCAAACCAGTCAATCCTAAAAGAAATCAACCCTGAATATTCATTGGAAGGATTGATGCTGAAGCAGAAGCTCCAATACTTTGGCCACCTCATGCAAAGACTCCACTCATTGGAAAAGATCCTGATGCTGGGAAAGATTGAGGGCAGGAAGAGAAGGGGATGACAGAGGATGAGATGGCTGGATGGCATCACTGATTTAGTGAACATGAGTTTGAGCAAACTCTGGGAGATGGTGAAGGACAGGGAAGCCTGGTGTGCTGCAGTTCATGGAGTCATAAAGAGTCAGACATGACTTAGCAACTGAACAACAACAAGAGAGGGAAAAATGAGCAGTGTCTGATCATCATTTATTTAACTGGAGAAGAATTACTTTACAATATTGTGATGGTTTTGCCATACATCAACATGAATCAGCCTTGGTGTACTTGTGTCCCCTCCATCCTGAACTCACCTCCTCCCTCCCTCCCTACACTATCCCTTGAGCTGTCACAGAGCACTGGCTTTGGGTGCCTGCTTCATGCACTAGTTATCTGTTTTACATATAATAATGTCTGTGCTTCAACGCTCTTCCATCAAGTCATCTCACCCTCTCCTCCTCCCACTGAGTCCAAAGTCTGTTCTTTCCATCTGTGAGCACAGGGTAGCAGAGGAGACACAGACACAAAGAACAGGCTTCTGATCATTATGTTTAATTATCATAATTTTAAATAAAAATCTATATATGAAACAGTGTGTTATGTTAATTACCTTAGGTTCTTTAGGTTCTAATCCTGGGGTAAGAAGTCCTTCTAAATAGCTAGCTTTTTCTGCCCATGTACTTAGATGTCTATATTCTTTTTTCATTTTTTCCAGCCTAAAGAAAGAAGTCAGTCACAGACTTAAAAAGTGACAGAAGAATATATATGGTATGAATCAAAGAACAACATATACAGTATGATACATTTATATAAAGTTCTTAAAGAAAAAAATCAACAATATATTGTTTAAGGATACAAAAGAAAAAGAATAAAATTCAGAGTAGTAGTTTCCTGGAGAGGGATGTAATCTTATAAGGGCACATAAAACACATTATAATATTGGTAATGTTGTATTTCTTAACCCTATATTGTAAATATCTAGGCAATGGTCTTATTATTTTTAAGTTATACACATATATTTTAGAAATTATTCTATATATATTGGTTTCATTATGGAAGCAACAAATACATATTTTTAAAATTATTCAGTACATATATATCTTCAGTAATAAAATAAGTAAAAAGACGAGAATTTTGTTTCTAATCCAAAAAATTTCAAAAGACTTTCATAATCTAAACATATAATTGACAAGAATTAAATGGAACAGAGGAAATGTTTCTCAATTTATTTCATGAGGACACTGACCTTGATAATAAAGTATAAGAAGGACATTACAAAAAAGGAAAATTAATTTAGTCTCACTCACAAACACAAATGCAAATCTTACAAATAAAATACAATTTCAGTACAAAAAACCTAGTGGTATAAGGAAAAGATAACATACCATGAACAAATTGACTTTATTCCAGGAATATAGGGATATTTTGACATTAACAATAAAACATAATTTACATACAATTTAGCTGATTAAAAGAGAAAAATAATTTGGCAAAATCCCATGGCCATTTATGATTAAAATAAAAAACTCACAGAAAACGAGGAAGAGAAGGAAATAATTTACTTTATTTGGTATAGGACATCAGCAAAAAAAACTACATAAATAATGTGTTTGGTTTTTTAATGCTATGAGCTTTGCCATGAAAGATCCTAAACAAAATAAAGATATCCATTATTTATAAGAGACATTAACTGGAGCTTTTAGCCAGCACAGAATGACAAGTAAAAGTTACAGATCAAGGATTGGGAACAAAGAAACAACTGTTATTACTTACAGATGATTGTTTAAATAAATCCCCCCAAATGATACCACAATAAAGTATTATGAATATAAAAGTTTTGCAAAATAAGGAAAATTCCAAGATGATGATAGAAGCAGTTACAGTATAGTTTTTGAATCTTCCCAAATATCTACATAAAAACTCACAGTATCTGGCTAGCATACCCCAAAACTTATAGGCAACATTTACAACAAAATCATGTGACAAGGTTTTCCTATTAACCCCATGCACATAAGACCTTCATGGTATCAGTGAATATATGGGAGAAAGCAACAGGTATAACAGGGGCATCTGATGAATGTGAGAATAAGTCATTCCCAAATAGCCAACAGGCAGTCACAAGAAAGCACAGCCAGCCAATTTGAGAACAGCAGTTGAAACTTGGAGGGTTTGCTTATTTCATTAGTGGGTGAGTACAAAGGATTCATGATAAGAACTAAGAGGACTGGAGTAGACTAACCACTGAGAATAATCAAAACTGACCAGCCAGGTCTCTGTTTTGAACAGGCCCTGCAGAAACCTGGGTTTCCTGCAGTGCAGGCAGATTCTTTACCATCTGAACCACCAGGGAAGCCCCACTGTATTTTTAAACACCAAATAAAAACTCCAGAAGTGGGAGTTCTATGAAACTAGAAGAGTTTTCTAAACCAAGTCTTTACAAAAATTTCAGGAAAATTAATTTCACATAAGATAGGCAATAGAGAATTATCAGGGCCAAAGTATTGGGTTGATCAAAAGGTTTGTTCGTTTTTTCCATCAGATGGCTCAAGCAGCAATTAGTGGTTACCATCATTCAAAACAATTTTGTTGGACTGTATTGTGACAGTTGCCATATAAGTATGCATTTAAATAATTATCAACATTGGTGAACTTTTATGTAGCCACTTTAATATTGAGGACAGAAGAAAAGAAGCAACATTTTCAGCATATTTGGCTTCATTATTTCAAGAAAGGTAAAAACACAATGGAAACACAAAGATTTGCGCAGTGTATGGAGAAGGTGCTGTGACTGAACATGTCAAAAGCGGTTTGAGAAATTTCATGCTAGAGATTTCTTGCCAATGATGCTCCACAGTTGGGTAGGCCAGTTGGAGTTGATAGTAATCAAATCAAGACATAAATTAATCAACATTATACCATGTGGGAGGTAGCTGACATACTCAAAACATCCAAATCAAGCATTGAAAATCCACATGTTTGGTTATGTTCATCATTTTGATGTTTGGAGTCCACATAAGTTAAGTGAAAAAATCCTAGAGTGTTTTTCCACACACAATTCCCTACTTAAAACACACCAAAAACATTCCATTTTTAAAACAAACTGTGGTGGGCACTGTATAATAATATGGAATAGAAAAAAGATCATGGGACAAGCAAAATGAATCACCACCAAACACCAAAGGCCAGTTTTCATTCAAAGAAGGTGATTTTTGTATATGGTGGGTTTGGAAGGAAGTCCCCTATTATAAGCTCCTTTTGGAAAACCAAATGATGAATTTCAATAAGTACCTCTCCAATTAGATCAACTGATGGCAGCACTCAACAGAAAGCATTTAGAATTAGTCAAGAGAATTACATAATCTTCCATCAGGATAATGCAATACCACATGTTTCTTTGATGACAAGTTAAAAACTGTCACAGCTTGGCTGAGAAGTTCTGGTTCATCCTCTGTATTCACCAAACATCACACCTTTGAATGTCCATTTATTTCAGTTTACAAAATTCTCTTAATGGAAAACATTTCAATTCCCTGGAAGACTGTAAAAGGCACCTTCTTTGCTCAAAAAGATAAAAGAATTGGGAAGATGGAATTATGAAGTTGTCTAAAAAATAGGAGAAGGTAGTAGAACAAAATGGTGAATACACTGTTCAATAAACTTCTTGGTGAAAATGAAAAATGTGTCTCTTATTTTTACATAAAAAAAAGGAACTTTTTGGCCAATCCAATAGTTATAAGAAGAAGATAATACAGAGCAAAATAACATCCTTAGATTGCTGAAATACACAAGAAAGATATTTGGCAGTCAGTGAGCAGAGGGGGACCCATTCTTCTAGAAAGAAGGGGGTTGGGTGGTACTTCCATTCAAGAGAAGACAGAGCAACAGCCATCCATGTCACTGGAATCCAAACAAGTTGAGGTTCAGCAGGTGGAGCTCAGGGAGCCACTCTCTTTGAATGGAGAAGCTGTTATGATGATCCAGTTGTGTTTTACTAAGTCAAGAATTGAAGAAATTTGTGCATTTCTGTCCAAGATGGTGAAAAAGCCTCTGAACTCATTCATCTCCTCCCAAAGATACACCTAATCCACAGCTATACAAGAAAGAAACCCAGAAATAGAAATCCTGCTGAAAGAAATCTAGAAGTAGCTGAGCAACTCTGAAACACTAGACACGTGAAAGGAAACTCACAACAAAATGGGTAAGAGAGGCTGAGATGCACTTTCACCATAAGCCTAACCCGGGCACAATACCATACAATTGGGACGGACTCTACTTGAGGACAGAAAAGTCTGGACTCTACATGCAGTGCTCCAACTTCAAGACTACCACTTTAAAGACAGGCCCTGAAAACACCTTGCTAGGTCATACCTACCTTGTGACTGGGAGACACACAGGCTAAAAAATAAATAAATAGTTCTTAATGGGCTCACTAAGGACTTGCCAGAGCTGTTTGCCCAGGGCTCGGCACAGTGTAGGCAAATTTGCACACCCCCCAGTCCTTCCCCGGAAATGCTTACTTGAATTCTGTAAGAGCTGCTGCTTGGGGGTCAGGCCTCGAATTTAGCATGCTTCTAGGAAACCAGGGAAGCTGGCAGACTCCACATCTCCCTTCTCTCCTAGCCTGATCCAGATCACCAGTATCTCCACACACAACTGGCACCCCAGATTTGGTGGCTGCCATCGAGGCACAGGTCCCCGGGTCGCCTGATGTCATAGTCAGCAGGGTTTGCATTCCCCAGTCCACAGGACTAGAGCACACAAAGAAGAAGCTCCTAATGGGTACAGGAGCTACCAGCCCTGTGTGTATACACACAGACCCAGCACAGAGAGAACAGGAGAGTCTCACCAGTTTCTCCTCGGAAGGGCTCCAACTACATACTTCCCCAGCATCTACCTGGGGCTTCAGCCTTCCAATCAGCCTGAATGTAGGTGCTGACTGAAGTCCTCCCATCTGGGACACTGACAAGTCTTGACACACCCTCAAGTCTTGGGAGGGTCACTAAAAACAAAGAAGGTAACTGGGACAGTCACAAAGGTGTGAGGGACAACCAAGAACTTGGACTAGGCTGATGATAAGGTTCATTTCCTACATGAGACCACAATAGCAAAACTAACAGAGGTGGTTGTTTTATCTAATGTTCAGGAACCAACATGGAGAGTTAGGAAAATGAAGTAAGAGAGGAGAAAGTCCTAAACAAAGGAATAAAACTCCAGAAACATAAGTTCCAAACAAAAGAAAAAGATAAAACTCTAGAAACAGACATAAATGAAACAGAAATAAGTGACTTACCTGATAAAGAAATCAAAATAATGCTCATAAAGATGTTCATCAAGGTCAGAAGAAAAATTCATGAACAAAGTGAGAATTTCACATAGAGGCAGAAAATACTAGAAAGTATCAAACAGAAATCACAGAGCTGAAGAATACAATAACTGAAGAAAATTCAACAGAGAGATTAAGAGCAAACCAGATGATTCAGAAGAAAGGATCAGTGAATGTGAAGACAAAGCAATGAAATTCATCCAATCAGAGAAGCAGAAAAGGATGAAAAAGAGAGAAGACAGCTTAAGGAACTTATGATACACCATCAAGTAGACCAATATATTTATTACAGGGGAGGCAACTAGAAGGAGAGAGAGAAAATGGGACAGAATGCTTATGCAAAGAAATAATGACTGAAAACTTCCCTAACAGAGGAAAGAAACAGACACCAGATCAAGGAAGTCCAGACAGTTACCAATAAAAGTAATCCAAAAGACTCACACTGAGTAACATTAAAATTAAACTGCTAAAAATGAAAGACAAGGAGAGAATCTTAAAAGCAGCAAGAGAAAAACAATTTGCTATGTACAAAGAAGCCATCATAAGACTATGAACAAATCTTTTAGCAGAAACTTTGTAGGCCAGAAGAAAGTGGCAATCATACACTCAAAGTGCTAAAAGAATAAAATGGACAACCAAATAAATCAGCCAAAGACCATAACAAGAGACAAAAATGTCTTGTTTACTAACAAGACATTGTAAATCAGTTCAGGTCAATTCAGTCACTCAGTCATGTCTGACTCTTTGCAAGCCCATGAACCACAGCACACCAGGCCTCCCTATCCATCACCAACTGCTGGAATCTACCCAAACCCATGTCCATTGAGTTGGTGATGCCATCCAACCATCTCACCCTCCGTCATCGCCCTCTCCTCCTGCCCTCAATCTTTCCCAACATCAGGGTCTTTTCAAATGAGTCAGCTCTCCACATCAGGTGGCCAAAGTGGAGTTTCAGCTTCAACATCAGTCCTTCCAATGAACACCCAGGACTAATCTCTTTTAGGATGGACTGATTGGATCTCCTTGCAGTCCAAGGGACTCTCAAGAGTCTTCTCCAACACCACAGGTCAAAAGCATCAATTCTTCGGAGCTCAGCTTTCTTTATAGTCCAACTCTCACACCCACACATGACTACTAGAAAAACCATAGCCTTGACTAGACAGACCTTTGTTGACAATCAATTTACTATTTAGAATTGTAAATCAACCATATTCCAATAAAAATTATAAATAAATGTTATTGAGGACTTCCCAGATGGCACAAGTGGTAAAGAATTCACCTACATGCAGGAGATGTAAGAGGTGTGTGTGTGATCCCTGAGTGGGGATGAAACCCTGGCAACTCACTCCAGTATTTCTGCCTGCAGAATCCCATGGACAGAGGAGCTTGGAAGGCTGCAGTCCATAGGTTTGGAGAGTCAGACACAACTGAAGCAATCGAGCACGCATGTACAAACGTCATTAAAAGAATAATACATATGACTAGGGGAAAAAGGGGTTTCTTGATGACTCAATTCAATGTTTATGAATTAATTTATAAGTCTAGTAAACTATGCATACACATAAACACTATTTTTAAAATATTCAAGAGTTCTATTTCTGGCAATGATGGAACAGGTTACTTCAGACATACCATCTCACTGGACAACTGAAAAAAACTGGACAAAATATTTAAAATTTTTTCTGTTTGGAAGCATCAGTCAGTTTATAAAGGCAGCAAGGATGTTCAGATCCAAGATTCCAGACAGAAAAGAAGTCTGGAGACTCTGAGCCCATGATTTGGAGCCATTTTCCTTCAAGGTATTTGTGGTGATGAAGAGTTAAGAGCTCTGAGATAAATATGTAAGAACGAGGAGAACCAGAGTCCAGACCCTGCTAAGGATGAGAAGCCGTGGTAAACACCTGGGGTTTCAGTTGGGACCCTAAAGGGTTCTTCCCCAAGAATAAAGGCCTCCTTAAATATTGTACCCTGGGTGCCCCGCACTAGTGTCCCTCTTTTTTTAAATTTATTTTTTAATTAGAGGAAAATTGCTTTACAATGCTGTGTTGATTTCTGCCATACAACAAGACAAATCAGCCATAATTATACATATATCTGCTCCCTCTTTAGCCTCCCTCCCCTCCCCCATCCAACCACTCTAGGTCATCACAGAGTGTCAGGCTGGACTCTCTGTGGTTTACAGCTACTTCTCACCAGCTATCCACAGTAAACCCTACAAAGACTGATGTTCACAGGGATGAAAGCCCGAATCACTTCAGTCTCAACTGAATTAAGATGATCTAGGATTGCTTAGTGTTCCTAGGCTAGCTGGCAACCAGATGCAAATGTATTTATATACTATCTGTAAAAAATATATAATCAAGATCCTCAAAGTAGTTCCACAGATTTTCAAATACAATGTTTGGCACTTGATAAAAACAACTAGACATGTGAGAACAGAAAATATGACTAAAGACTATGAGAAGAAAAGCCAACAACAGAAATAGACTTTTAGGAAATCCAAATAATCAAGTTATCAGGGATGAACTTGGAAATAACAATGATTATTATGTTCAAAGAACTAAAAGATAAGATTGGGGATTTTGGCAGAAAAGTGGAACTATGAAATAAATTATGAAAATTCCATAACTGAAAAGGAAATAACCAAAATTAAGAATGCAGTTGGCTTAACAACAGATAAAGAACAAAGAAGATTCAATGATTATAAGATAGGTCAGAAGAAAATATCTAAAGCATCGAGAAAAAAAGATGGGAAATATAGAAAAGACCGTAAGAGGCCTATAAAATACACTGTTGAGTGAAGAGGCAGAGCAAATATTGTACTTTCTCCCTTATAATGAATTTTCACCCCTTTTGTTCCCATGTCATTGACTTCTTACCACAAACCCTTAAATATGCTAAAGCAAAACTCTGGAATAACCTCTGGACATATGAAATACCACCATGATGAAGTTTTCTGGACCAATAGCAAGCCCATGTCTCAAAGGAAAAAAATAATATATAAATAATACATAAGTAACATGAAAATTTTTTGTTTTGGTTTGGTTTTTTACCTTTCCCGGGGTTGTTGCTGAAGTTTTTCAAGTTGCACGACAGATGGCTGGTTGGACTGGGATGTTGTGGTTGGCATCCCAACAGTAACGTTCAGGTCTGGGGATAAGAATGCTGGATATGCTATTGGCTGTGGTATAATAACATTTCTGGAAAATGGTAATAAAGTTAAATATCAAAATTATACAGAAGTACACTTCTAAAATCAATATTAGCTATTACTTTTGAATCACTCTCTGTTTTAAACTGTAAGCTCACATATCCACATTGGACCACTAGAGAACAGGGCTAGGAAAAAGGAAGTCAGAAATACTGAGAGAGTGGATTTTGAGTACTCCTACTACTAAGATTGTGGGTAGCAAAGATGAGAAAGGAGAGAAGGATCTGAAGTTCTAGGGAGATGTAGAAAGCATTTGAGCCCAGATTTCTCTTCCTATCTCTAGGTTCAAATCTTTTCATGGCCCAGTCAAGTGGACGCAAAAAATTAACCATCACAAGTTCAACCCCTTGTCAACTTGGCACCCATAAACATCTCTTTACAGCATGCTTTATTTACAAATGAGAAAATAAAAAGGTCATAATTCACCTTACATGATACAACTCTCCTTCATACATACAGCCAAAAACTCACTAGCTCCTTCCCTATAAGAGGACGTAAAGTCCTTGGGTGATGTTTACTCTTCTGCTTAATATCCTGAAATTTAAATAACTATGACATAAGGTTAACAATACTTAAATATTATGATATAAAGTGAATACATGTTATGTTACATGATAAGGAAATGAGAGAATAAAAAATTATATATATATATATACACACACATAAACTTTTTTCCCAGGTTACTGAGTAAGCTGGCCAGAGCAGCATACCCAAAGGAATATGTTGTCTCCAAAACTCAAGAACCCCACTAGGTGGTATGACTGTTTTTTGGTTGTAGTAGAGCCCAGACACAATAACTTACCCTTCACCTCAGCAGGAATATCTTAACAAGCCACATGTCTGTATCCCTAAAATTTCACTTAAGTAGTAAAAAAGTATCAGAGTCGCTCAGTCATGTTCAGCTCTTTGCAACCCCATGGACTGTAGCCCACCAGGCTCCTCTGCCCATGGAATTCTCCAGGCAAGAATACTGGAGTGGGTAGCCACACCCTTCCCCAGGGGATCCTTCCAACCCACAGACTGAACGCAGGTCTCCTGCACTGCAGGCAGATTTTTTTTTTTATCATCTGAGCCACCAGGGAGATAGAAAGTCCTCAAATTTTATTAGACTTACATTGAGGTAGAAAGCCCTCGAATTTTATTAGACATTTCCCATATTCTGACATGCAAATATCTTACCAATAGGTCTACACTAGTGCTGCTCACTAGGTCAAATCAGCATGTCATCACTGGAAGGGACAGTGTGATACCTTATATAAGAGAAAGTAATCAAGAGTCCTGCCTACTAAATTATAGAGTTGAGAAGAGATATATCTCTGAGGTAGGACAGAGCAGGTGTACTACTGGTCTTGCCTGTGGAAAGAAAACTGTTATGGATGGTCTTTATTAGCAAATACGGAGAAAAAAAGCATTTGTCAAACCAAGAGTTGCAGGCCAGGTACTAAAGATGTGTTAATTCACTCAAGCAATAAAACCACATCTGGTACAGCAGTTGCATTTGGAGTCACCACCAGGTTAAGCTTACAATCATTTACTGTCATTCTCCAAGATACATCTGTCTCAGCATAGGCAAGATAAGTGAGTTGAACGGGGATGTGATGGGAACCACCATCTCTACATCTTTCAAATCCTTATGGTGGCACAAATCTCTGCTATCCCTCCAGTAATACAGTATTACTTTTGGTTTACCATTGGAACCTCTAGTGACTTCCATTTGGTCTTTCCCACTGTAACATCCCTCATTCCACAGGTCAAGGGAGATATTCACCAACTGCTGAATATGTCTATTTATGCATTCTAGAACTGAGAAAATAACTACAGGATGGATTTGGGGACCAACTGGGTCCCCTGTGAGATGAATCAGAGTTAAAACTTCTTCTTTGACCACCTTCTCTCTCTAAGCCCCTATTCTAAGTGGTAGATAACAGTGACATTTTGTTCTTGTTCAGCTGCTCAATCGTGTCCGACTCTTTGCGACCCCGTGGACTGCAACATGCCAGGCCTCCGTGTCCTCCACCATCTCCCAGAGCTTGCTTAAATTCATGTCCATTTAGTCAGTGATGCCATTCAACAATCTTGTCCTCTGTTGTCACCTTCTCCTCCTGCCTTCAATCTTTCCCAGCATCAGGGTATTTTCCAATGAGTTGGCTCTTCGTATCTGGTGGCCAAAGTATTGGGGCTCAGCTTCAGCATCAGTCCTTCTAATGAACATTCAGGATTGATTTCCTCTAGGATTTACTGGTTTGATCTCCTTGCAGTCCAAGAGACTCTCAAGAGTCTTCTACAACACCATAATTCAAAAGCATAAATTCTTCGGCACTCACTTTCTTTATGGCCCAACTCTCACATCCATACATGACTACTGAAAAACCATAGCTTTGACTAGATGGACATTTGTCGGCAAAGTGATGTCTCTGCTTTTTAATATGCTGTCGAGGTTGGTCATAGCTTTTCTTCCAAGGAGCAAGCGTCTTTTAATTTCATGACTGCAGTCACCATCTGCAGAGATTTTGGAGCCCAAGAAAATTAATTCTCTCACTGTTTCCATTGTTTCCCCATCTATTTACCATGAAGTGATGGGATCAGATGCCATGATCTTCATTTTTTGAATGTTCAGTTTTAAGCCAGCCTTTTCACTCTCCTCTTTCACTTTCATCAAGAAGCTCTTTAGTTCCTCTTTGCTTTCTGCCATAAGGGTGGTGTTATCTGCATATCTGAGGTTACTGATATTTCTCCTGGCAATCTTGATTCCAGCTTGTGCTTCATCCAGCCCGACATTTCACATGGTGTACTCTGCACATAATTTAAATAAGCAGGGTGAGAATATAGAGCCTTGACATACTCTTTTCCCAATGTGGAACCAGTCTGTTGTTCCATGTACCGTTCTAACTGTTGCTTCTTGGCCTGCACACAGGTTTGTCAGGAGGCAGGTAAGGTGGTCTGGTATTCCCATCTCTTGAATAATTTTCCACAGTTTGTTGTGATCCACACAGTCAAAAGCTTTAAATGAAGCAGATGTTTATCTGGAATTCTCTTGCTTTTTCTATGATCCAACAGATGTTGGCAATTTGATCTTTGGTTCTTCTGCCTTTTCTAAATCCAGCTTGAACATCTGGAAGTTCTTGGTTCACGTATTGTTGAAGCCTAGCGTGGAGAATTTTGAACATTACTTTGCTAGTGTGTGAGATTTGGGCAACTATGCAGCAGTTTGAGCATTCTTTGGCATTGCCTTTCTTTGGGATTGGAATGAAAACTGACCTTTTCCAGTCCTGGGGCCACTGCAGAGTTTTCCAAATTTGGGGGCATACTGGGGGTGGCATTTTCACAGCATCATCTTTTATGATTTAGGTTACTTTTGTTCACTTGATCTAGAACTTAAATGCTAATGCAGATCAAGCAAGAATTTAGTAAACTTCCTGTATACTGTGTTTCCAGGAATACTATGATCGACTATCCAATGCCATGGTTCTGCGTGAGTCAGACTAGTCTGTTTGCTGCTTTGACTCTGCTGTCCAGCACAGTACCCACACCTACCTTGTGACGCTGGGATCCAATTCCTCCCAATTCGTTTAGGTTTTCCTTTCCGATGACTGCAGTTCCCACTGCAAGGTCTACTCAGAGAAGAGCAATCACAGGGCTCTTCAAGGGTGGGGATTCCCTCACAAACTTTTTTCTCAGCTTCATAAAAATCAGTGTGCCTTCTGCAGCCTCCCAGAATAAATAGGTCTTAAATGACAAATCCTCTCTAACACTATAATCTCCCTAAACCTCTGAATCCCTTCCTCTACACTAAACTAAACTAGGTCTGGTTTTTCAATTCACTCATAGTGGGTTATCTTCTGGTCCATGTTTCAGTAACCAACACACTGTAAAGAGTTCTATGTAACCCCTCAAGCTGCATCAACACAGAATCTCTACTTAGTCAGCCCATGTCAGTCAATTTCTTATATGATCCAACGTAACAGTCCTGCCACCACTATACCATACATTAAATATCCTTACACATCCCCTGGATTTTTGTATATATAAATGAGAAAACTCAGGCAGTTCTTTTCAGAGTGTAATGCACTTCCTCGTGGGTCACACTTTGAACCTCACCTTTAGGAGCTTGCTGGGACTTGCATCTAGTTATAAGCCTAAAAGCAAAGAGGGGTTGTAAGGGTGAGTCTTGAGGAGAATCAACATCATATTGCATGGCAACTGCCTCAGAAGAGGAGATTACTATTTCCTCAAGCAATACAGAGTTAATCTTCTGAGATAGAGGCAGAAAGCCCACTTTCACTTTTGCTACGGATAAAGACGTCACTGGCAAAGGAGGTATATCAGAATTTATGGGCTCAGTGTCCACAGTTTCATCAAGATTTTCTATTTTCCCATTCTAACTTGAAGGTTCCACTTAGTCCCAATCAATACTCTCACTTTAAAAGTTGACACCTTGTGAAGCTGGGAGCTCACTTCGCCTTGTAATTCAGTCAGCTGCAAGATGAAATTCTGCCTCTGATTGTCAGTAATCTTAGTATTATGGCTACAGGAGCTCAGGATCTCCTTCAGAACACACATGGACGATTTCAGGTCATTTACACTGGGCTTGAGCTGGGAATTTGAATACTTGAGCAAACTCATTATGTTCACTAGTATGACAAAAATGTTTGGAAGTATCAAATATATAGTCAACTCATATCTTTGCTTATAAATTGTTGATTAAGGATATCCAATGGTGATATTTCTCACATTGTTATTGCCAGGTCATGCTGAGGAGTATCTAGTGGTATCTCTTTACCACTAGAAATTGAGTCATTAGAGTCTTTAAATCTAATCAGATTAGAGAGCTAACTTCAGAAAACTCAAAACTAATTCAGAAAACTCAACCTTAAACTTCTGTTTCTCTCAAGCCACTCTCAGTATCAAAATTTGTATTAGTGAGAGGCATTCAGAGAAACAAAACAAGTAAGCTGGAGAGAAGGGGTGGGGGTGCAGGGGAGAAAGAGAGAGAAGTTCAGACTACAAATCCAGGAAGATCTGATGTTTCCATTCAAGTCCAAAGGCAGGAAAAAGCCAACATTTCAGTCAAAGGCTATTACTGGGAAGGAGGAATTCTCTCCTACTCATGGAAAGGGCAGAGTTCTTTGTTCTATTCAGGCTTTCAACTGGTTGGATGAAGCCTACCCGATGAGGGCAACCTGCTTTACTCAGTCTACTGATTTAAATGTTAATCTCATTCAAAACACTCTTACAAAAACATCCAGAATGATGTTTGACCAAATATCTGGGAACCCCATGGCCCAGTCAAGCTGACACACAGGATTAACCGTCATACCCAGCTAGCCATTGCCTTCTTTCAGACTGTCAGTACCTGTTGTGTAGACTACTGTGATAGCTCCCTCCAGTCCTTGATCTCCAATACTAAACTAATTCTGTCTATATTCAACCCTATTGACTCCCTCACTTGAAATTCTCCAACAGCTCTACATCTGAAGTATTTCCAAATTTTCCCAATAAAGAACTCCTGTGGGTAGAGGACAGTGAAGGTGTCTGGAAGTGTAGCTTAATGCAATCAGACACAAACCACATCATTTCCTGGAATCAATCATTTTGCTATCTTGAAAATTTATGTGACTTTTAAATTCTACTATATAATATGAGGATGCTAATTTTAAGATAACATTTTCCCTTTCAAAATCTATGAGCAATGTAACACTCCAGAAAGATGCACCATATTTTCCAGTGCCTTTGCGTTGCCCCACCACATGTGGGAGGGCTCAAAACAGTAAACTTCACTCACATTTGAGAAGCGTAAACTTACAATGATGAGTGTGATGATAAAACATTCATTACTTCAGTAAGTAGTTAACAACTGACAATTTTGTTATTTGCTACCATGTTCCAAGTGATTTATATGTAACTAATTTAATATTACAATAACTCACCTGAGCAGCTGTTATTTTTATTCTGTTCAATAGATGAAGCATAAAGAGCCGAAGTAACTTGCTCACGTTGCACAGCTAGCCCATGGGAGAGCCCACATCGTCTGCTTCTGGGGCCTGACCTCTTGACTGCCACGTCTTGCCCTGACTGCTGCTCCAGCTCAGCTCCTACTGCTCCCTGCCTTATTCCTGTGTCCCTGGCAACCCACCACTAACCATGCACTGCTCTCCATGATAACACAGCCTCCTGTGGCTCCCACCGTCTGCTCACGTGCCCTCGTCAGGGAGTGTGTCTCCTCAGCCTTACACAGCCCACCTGGTGCACCATACTCACCTTCCAAGTCCTACATCCAGCACTTTTTCTTCTGTGGATCCTTACTTCATACTTTCCTCCTAACTCCCCTAAAAAGTACAGGAGGCACCCTGGCTGTGTCCCACGGACCTCATGTTTATCTCTAGGAGGGCTCCATCTCATTCCTATCACCATATTTTTTACATGCTACCTTTGCATTAAACGTGGGGTACAGCAAACATTCAATAAGCGTCTACTGAATCAGTGGATAGACATGAAATAACAATCAATAAACATAAGAAAAACGCTAACCTTTACCATTTCAACAAATCACCAATACCAAATGGACCAAATTTATTTTTAATGATAATGCTCAGTGTTGACAGGACAATCAGCTCTTCAGAATATAACTTCCTATTCTATACCTAATTTCCTCAATCCCATTTCAGGTATTTTCTATTCTTTATTCTTGCATAGCACCATAGATTAAATATCTCTCTCAGGTGCTCATTTTTCTTTGATCTATCTTTACTGCTGAAATTTCAAGACTAATTTATATACTATATTTTAAGTTACTTTTTGGCCTACTAACGGCATTTTTTGACTATAAGTTTTTTTCTGAAAATTTAGAAGTAGCAAATGGAGTGTGTGGAAATGGGTGTAATGTTACCACACTGCAGAACAGAAAATGCAACTATTAGGCACCTTGATCTTAAAAGTTCCTCACCTCTTTCTGCAAAAGGAATATCTCACTGGCCAACTTCCTCACTAGGCTTCCACTCCCTTCCGTCCTTTAGTCACAAAGTTGGCAACCCTTCTCTTCTTATCTCCAGACCTCCTCAGCTACTCTCTCCAGGCTACATCCAGAAACTCAAACTATCTTCCACCTGAGGCAAAGCAACTCACTGCCTTCTTTACCTTGGAGACTAGCTCATTCTGGACATGTCTTAAAAACAATCAAGATGTTCCACCAAATGGATTACATGTTTTAAATGACTTTTAATAAGACTTTAACACTTACGTCACAGGGTCTGTTCTTTCTGGAGGTGGTGCAATATCCATAAACATAGATGGCTTAATAATTTTCTGAAGAGGTTTTAACTGAAGAAAGTAATAAGTACATATTAACACTGTTTAGTCACACCTTCATCCTAATATGACTATTTCCTGGACTTAAATTTTATATATATATAATTATTTAATATAATGAAATGAGGAGGAAATGAATTAAGAGAGGAAGAAAGAATTAACATTGAACACTGAGTATACAGTTCATGGAATTTTCCAGGCCAGAATACTGGAGTGGGTAGCCTTTCCCTTCTCCAGGGGATGTTCCCAACCCAGGGATCGAACCCAGGTCTCCTGCATTGCAGGCAGATTCTTTACCAGCTGAGCCACAAGGGAAGCCCATATATATATAAGGAGGAAATTAATTAAGAGAGAAAGAAGGAATTAACACTGAGCATTAAGTATCTGCCAAGAATTTTACATCTTCAATGTTATTTAATCTTTTCAATAATTCTATGAGGTAGATAAGTATCTCTATTTTACAGGTAATACTAACGATCAGTAATTTGTTCAAGGGCTACCCAATAGGCATGAGAGCCAGGGTCTGAATGTAACTTCATCTCCCCAGTGCAAGCACTGTTTATACATTACCATGATAGGTAAGTAGGGGGTATGTAACTGAAAAGTTCACAGACATAAAATCAAGTAGAACTTGTATTAAACTTCCCACTCTTTTCCTTATAATGCCTTCATTCCTAGTTTTTAGTAGAATCCACCTTAATAAAAGGCAATACCTGCCCAGTTTTATTTGAAAAGGATCTATCTCTGGGATTGTTATATGCTACATTCACACAACACCTACCTCAGAAGTTAGTGTTCATGACTTGTGACTGTAACAAAAGGACTAAACAATTAAGAATCCCTATAAGGCCCAATTCATGATAAGAAAATAGGCAGAATGGACAGAAGAAAAATCAAAGGAGAAAAGAAAAAAAGCTTGTGTCTAACAGCTTTCATCATTACATTACCTACTTGTGATCCAAAATGTATTAAAAAAAATGATATACCATAGGTAAAATTTAAAAATGCATTTTATAGGGATTTCTGAGTTAACCAGCAGTAGACTTATTTAATAAGACTGATCTACTGACTCTAAATTTAAAAAACCAAGAGTATAAAAAATAATAAAAGCTGAAAATTAAAGATTATATGTAAAGTATAGGGGTCCTTTCTTCTATACAACAGAAGTACTAATGAGACTGGATTTATAAATGCCCCAAAGCTGTGACAATATCCAGAGATATCAACAGTCCTTTCAAATACTTAATAAGAATATATGTTGGTAGATTATTGTGTAGATTTTTCTAGACCAATTCCTTGAAAAGATCATTACTGACAATAATTTCCACTATAGAAATCCAGCCTAAGGACAAAATGAAAGAAAAGGATAAAGGCTAATGTATAAAAATTTTCACTGCAACTTTGGATACACATAGTAAATTTAAAGAGGTAGGCTTAAGCTAGAAAGATATCTTCTTTGGGCATATTACTTTCTTGATGAATCAAGAAGAGTTGACACTGAAACAATCATAGTGAGAAAGGACTCTATGTGATTAGAGTACAAAATATCTGAATAACATAAATGACTCCATTTTAATGATTTTTTTAGATATAAAAATACAAACTCACTTCTTGAATATTTAATTTTGTTTTCACATAAGTATGTTTGTACACAGACACTAACACACAAAAGTTTTAAAATAAAGACATCCTGAATAAAATATCATTGTTTAAAAATGTATAAACAAACAATGGTGAAGTTTCACTTCTCCTTGGACTACAGAAAGATGTCATTCTTTTTAAAAATATTTATTTTAAAGAACATATCAAACTGGAAAGGGAAGAGGCTCAGGAGGATTATATGACTAAAGAGCTGCAATAGAATTATTTTTAAAAGAGGGAAACTAACCTGATGTGAAAATCCATAACCAAAGTTTCCATAGGAGAACATAAATTCCACCTCCACCCTGCAGATAAACTAAACGTGCCAAATTTATTTTATTATTTGATCAGAAAGATATTTGAATGGAGTGATATTTTTACTTCACAAATCTTTAAATTAGAAAAACCAAAGCATGAATCTCTTCATTTAAAAAATTTTACAGAAGTAATTCCTATGTAAGAATCTATGGTGTTCTGGAAATGTTAAAACAAAATTTTTATGTTAAAGTTAAGGAATACTATATGATGAAGATATGAAAAATATCAATTTAAAATTGTTAACAAAATTATGCTGAGATATATACATACATATGTATTCATAGCCATGTATATATGTTTTAAGTATTTATTCACACTTTTCCCATCTCCACGTTCATTTTAAGATAAATTTTTTATTTGGAAAAAGTGATTTCATCTCTCTGAACCTCAGCTTGCTCATATGTGAAATGAAGGAGGGAATCAGAAGTCATAATCTCTGATTATGACCTCGAATGTTCTTCATTCTTTTTTTTATGTTCCTTGTCCTCAATTTGGCTTTTGGAAGGAGAAGCCTCTCAGAGTGGATGATCAATTAATCAAGATAATTTTTAAGTACTTAAAAAGAAATTCAGTAAGAACTGTAAACACCAATTTAGAGACTTCTCAAGGAGGAAAATAATTCTTCCTCAGTTCTGCAAGTGAGGACCCTGAGGCTATACAGTCAAAGCAGCAAGGAGAGGCATTTTACTCTCTTACTCAATGATTTCTAATTTTTGTGTTCACCATTCAGCAGTAAGATAGCAGCATTTTTTTTTAAAGTAGAGATGAAGATTTTTTGAGCAAATATTATACTTTCTCTTTACTATGTTTACATTAACTCAAACAGTGACTGGAAGTGTAACAAAAGAATAAAAACAATATCAGAGCAAAGTTACATGAAATGTGCACACAAGGCTTTGGAAGTTTCAGTAAAGTTCTTACTGTATTTTTATTCAACATTTGGAATTCTCCAGCAAAACACCCTTTCTAGAAAAAAGAAACAAGAAAATTATTAAATATAGAATTACTAATATAGTCACGGTGTCACTTGTAAATTATCTAAATCATTTCATAAATTTAAAAAAATCAGGTAATGATTTTTAATGCATATATGACTTAATAGCTAAAAATACAAAAATAATGAATGTTTGGAAGAAAATAAAACTTCCAAATTGTACCAGAAATAAATGTTAATATGTACATTTATGGTTTAAAGAAAAATGTTCCTACTACCTCTACTTAGAGGAACTGCCAGGCCTACACTCCTTTTGAGGGGTCAACATGGATCTATATGATAGGCTGACTCATGACAGAACTGAGTGCTTCTCTCATCTCTTGGGGACTGTTGGGATCTTTTTACCCTAGGAAATCTTTGGTATTGAGAGGATAGCAGGCAGGAAGGCCAGGGGTCTCCAAACAAAGGAAATAGGCTGCAAGCGTCAGACTTCTATTTTTTCTCTCTTAAGAGGCAGGAAGAAACAAACTCATGTTACATTTTTCCCTCTTTTCTATACAAATTTAAAAAGAGGTTTCTCTTAAAATTCTATGCTGCCATAATGACACCTGGTTCCACCTGAACTTAACTCTTCTCCAACCTTGAGCTAACCAATATATTTTTCTTATGGAAATGTTTGTCTTAAGCTATGTTAATGTGCTGTGTATTTACCCCAGACTCTGTCTTCAATCGTTCTGCCTAAAGGCTCAGAACCGACTTGACAAACCACTATGTTATACTCATACACTGTTCTCCTAATCTATGTCAACGAAACTATACATTTGTATGGGAGTCTGCCTTTTTTCAAGATTCATGTCAATCATTTTATGGCCTGGGATGACTCACCTGGTGCCAAGATTATCTCAAAATGTATCTTGTGGGTGAGGGTCCTGGTGCTATTCTCTGAGTTTTGAGACATTTCCTTTCTTTAATCAGCAGACTGCTGGTAGCTATATAATATCCAGCTACAGACTAGCGGGTGGGGGGGGCACTCTCTCTGCCCCCTTCTGATGTCTATGTCAGAAGCTTTCTCTATCTCTTTTATACTTTAATAAAACTCTATTACACAGAAGCTCTGAGCAATCAATCCTCGTCTCTGGCCCCGGATTGAATTCTTCTCCAGAGGCCAAGAATCCCGGCGTGTTTTGTGGTCCAGTAACAACCTTTCAGTATCCTTGGTCACCATCTTTGGTCATCTCTGCTGTGTTTTGACTGCTCTCATCTAATCCATCATTCAACGATTCCCTTTCTTCCCAGCATTTTCTACTGTGGCTCGTGGAACCCCTGTTTCATGGCTGACAAACAACCTTACATCTTTAACTGTTCTGCTAAACATTCCTCCTTTTCTTTACCTCAGACCTGCCTCACCACTAAGGGTGCTGCTTCCATTACAGACTCCTCAAATGAACGCTGACACGCCTCAAGGTCAGGAGGTGGAGTAGCATTCTCCACACTCTCTTCTATTCCTTCCAGATTTTGTTATTTAATGTGGATAAAAAGTTTTCCTCTTTTAAGCCTCACGCTCTCTGGCATGTCTTTCATACATTCTGGTCACTAGTTCTCATTTAGTGAAAACTCTGGCTACATGTCCTGTGCACCCCCAAAACATAACAATCTACAAGAACCTACTCAACAGCTGCCCTCTCAGTTCCTGGTAAGGCATTATAATGAGGAAAATAACAGGTGGTGGTAAACTGACAAGACACTACACAAAATTAGCATATCACATATATTCATCATATAAAGCCACAAGATCTATCAGAAAATTCATAAGTAATTGAAACTGATTTCCTTAACGATCCTGTCAACATGCTCCTTTAGAGTTTTTTTTGCTTTTGATAGCTTCCCTTTTCCCAAAGTGAGGAGTGGGGAAATAGCCTACTGTTCCAAGACTGCCTTTTTCTTCTTCTTCTCTTTTATAAACTGTGTCTCTGCATTTGATAGAAGAACTGAACCTAATGATTCAGCTTCCTCAAATATAAGTAAACTTTTAGTCATACTTTTAACTACTGTAAATGTCTTTGAGTTATTTCTGAAAGTCCCACTGAGATCTACCAAATTGAGTCTTCATTGAAGCCAATTAAATATTCAACCTGAAGGTGCATCTAACTCATCTAAATCCACTGAGTTTTAGGCTTGCCTTCAATCAGGTCTACTGATGAGTTTCAATCTGCGGCAATGAGCTACCTGGTTCCCTGTCCTGAATGTGGGTCTGCTCAGCCCAAAGCAAGTTACATGGCTAAGCCCAGTAGTGGAGGGGTTGGGGGGGGGAACTGTAGACTACTCATAAGTGTAGATACAGGGAGGCATGATTCTTTAGGGGGCATTACTCTAACAATTTCCCACACCATTGAGTTTCTATCACCTTTCTCAAATAATTACACTAGTTATCAATCTTTCTAATTGTGGAATTTATCATCTAGTCTTAGGCTCATCTGGTATGGATTATATATCCAAATCAATGAATGCAAATGGTACTGCAATTCATCTCAAATTTAATGATACATTCCTTTTTTATAATCAATTTTGCTGTTGTTTAGGCAGTAAGTCCTATCCAACTCTTTTGCAACCCCATGGACTGTAGCCCACCAGGCTTCTCTGTCCACAGGATTTTCCAAGCAAGAATACTGGAGTGGGTTGCCATTTCCTTCTCCAGAGGATCTTCCTGGTCCAGGATCAAACCCAGAGCTCCTGCTGTGTTTCCTGCATTGCAGGAGGATTCTTTATCACTGAACCCCTGGGGAAGCCCCTATATAATCAATACAGAAATAGTATAAACTCAAACATACTTATATGCCTTAATTAGACTTCAAGTCTTAACAATTAGCTGATACTTCTGGTTTCTCCCAGAGCTTCAAAGAAACCCAAGATATATCAGGAATGGGAAGGAACAAGGGATTAATGATATGAGTACAGACCAATTACTTTTTTTGTAAAGCTATGCAAAACCTATTGTGTGATTTAATTCAATTCAGTGTCTTTGTACTCCAAAATCAGGCCAGTTATATTCAGAAATTATATTGCAAGGGCTGATGCTGAAGCTGAAGCTCCAACACTTTGGCCACCTGATGTGAAGAGCCAACTCACTGAAAAAGACCCTGATGCTGGGAAAGATTGCAGACAGGAGGAGAAGGGGGTGACAAGAGCATGAGATGGCTGGATGGCATCACTAACTCAATGGACATGAATCTGAGCAAACTCCAGGAGATAGTGAAAGATGGGGAAGCCTGGTGTGCTCCAGTCCATGGGGTTGCAAAGAGTTGACAGGACTTAGTGACTGAATGAGAACAATGGTATTCAGAAAGCAACTGAGAGCAACTGGTAATCATAAACAAGACACATGTCCTTTGCATACACATGTGAGAAAATTGTTGTACAATCAGATGCCCCCCCCCCACATGCTTCCAAACATGATGTGCAGTTTGACTCTTATCGTCAGGTCTTTCCAACTCAGTCAAGCACTAGATTTTACCAACATGCATGAGGACTTCTACCCTGGCTAGAAATTCTGTACTCAAGTGGTCTGTAATCTACTCCTGCATGTGACCCAAATAGTAAATGATACAGTTCAAGCTTCAGAGACTAGACTAGACAGATAAGTGTAAATTTTTTGGCCAGAATCATAAATTGTAAAGGACCCTTTAACTTATGAAAGGAGTCAAAAGGTACAAACTTCTAGTTACAAGATAAATACAAGAGATGTAATGTACAACATGATAAATATAATCAACACCACGGTATGTGATACATGAAATTTATTGAGAGTAAATGGTAAGAATTCTTATCAGAAAAAACTTTTTTCTCTATTTCTTTAGTGTTTTATGTATATGATATGATGGATATGTGCTAAATTTGTTATGATGATCATTTCATCAGGTATGTAAGCCAAATCATTATCCTGTACACCTTAAACTTGCAAAGTGCTGCACATAAACTCTACCTCAAAAAGCTATAAGGAAAAAAGGCCCTCATGAAAAGATGTTCTGCATCTTAATAGGTGGAACTGCAAATTAATACCTCGATATCACTACCCATCCATCAGAAGGGCTATAATAAAGAATGGTGACATTACCAAATGCTGATGATGTTGCTGAGAAACTGGATCATTCATACATTTCTGGTGGAAATGCAGAATGGCATAGCCACTCTGGAAAATAGTTTTAAAACTATACATGCAACTATCTTACAACCCAGAAATTTATCTGAGAAGCAAACACTATGTTCACACGAAAATCTGTGAATATTTAGAGTAACTTATTTATAACAGCCCAAAACTGGAAACAAACCAGATGTCCTCCAATGGGTGAATGTTTAAACAAATCATGGTACATTTGCACCACGAAGTACTCTACTACCCAACAACAGAAAGGAGTGAACTGTGGATATATGCAGTAACCTGTATGATTCGCCAGAGAATCACAATGAGAGAAATAACTCCAATCCTAAAAGATTACATAATGTATGACTCCATTTATATAACATCCTTGAAATGAGGAAATTACAGAAATGAAGAACAAGCTGGTGGAACCCAATGGTTAAGGAAGGGGTAACGACAGAAGGAAGTGGATATAGCTACAAAAGGGCAACATAAGAGATCCTTGTAGAGATGGAAAAGTTCCATATCTTGGTTGTGATATTCACTGTAGTTTTGAAAGATGTTACTATCAGGAGGAGAGTGAGTACACAGGCCAATTAAAGTCCTCATGGTAAACTTTGTACTTCTGGTATCTGAGTTTTGACTATAAGAAATTAACTTGGAAATTCTAATACGGGAAACGATGCAATTCTTATTTAATGAAGAGGTGCCTACAGAAGGATACTGACAAGACAATACACAGAGGCACCATGCTACAGATGAAATCATAAGCCTTGGAGGGAAATCTACAAACAACCAAAGTTTCTTTCTCTGATAACTCTGTTCAATAAGTAATGCAGTCTCTTTACTTATGCAGCAATTCACCAGAGATTCACACAAGGCAATTCATCTTAACGTAGAGACTCTCC